TTTCGTAAATATTTATTTTACTATAATAACTTGAAAGTAATCAATTTATTATTAATAATAATTCAAAATTCACTGTTGGATAAAGATATTGTAGTTTCTATATTTTAAAACATTTTTTTTTAGTGACGATAAAGGAAAAAATTCTCTTCATGTATCTTTTGTGGAAGATGTCTTAGAATGTCCCGCCTTCCCCTGCACTTAGCCACAGGGCCTTTGTACAGGGTCTGTTTGCACAGTAAAGACGGTCGTCTTATGTCTTAGGCCTGCAGGTTCTCTAGGTTCCCAAGTTGCCTTGGTTCCCTTCTGAGCCCCGAAACAGTCCGTGTCGATTTCCAATATATATATTATGGTGGTACGAAAGAACGTTATTTCTGCCTTTGGAGATTCCGCTAAGCCCCATGGGTCCCCCGGTTTCCTCAGCCTTAGGTAGGCAAGATCTATAGGCCTGGTGTCAACCTAAGAGGTCGTCCCGGTTCCACAAGAAATCGTCCTACCCTCGGAGATTCTACCGGTTACCTCAAGGGTCCTGGTTTCAGACTCAGCATCAGCAAGGCTGTACTACAATGGGGTGTCGCCTGGTTCCCCAAGGGCATCGTGGCGGCAATAGCACTTTTTGTACTATTCAGTCATCAGCACGATAGCTTACGCCCTTGACTGCCCTCTGAGAGGCCTCCCGCTCATCGTGGTCAGAGAAAAGACTATATTATAAATGGGTCTTGTCTCAGCCGGGAATCGAACCCGCTACCCATAGTGCGCTAGGCTGGCACCTTACCACTTAGGCCACGATGTCGGTTCCTTTATGTATCTTACATTTAAAATAAATTTTAGCAAATATAATTTTAATCTTTGCAATCTCATTTACTCTGAAAATCATTAAATTTGTTAAATTTATCTCAATAAAATCATTTGCAGTTATTTAAAAACAAATTTTGAACACATAAAAACGTACACTTTCATGAGTGTAATTGTTTTGTTTAATTAGTTGTTTAACAATGCATAGAGTAGAATACACAGCTGTTGATCATACAATTTCCATTGATATTCACGATGTATAATTAATTAAATAAAATAAGAGATAAAATTTCAATGATTTCAGCTTCAAAGTGCTAATTCAATATATTTAGGCTTATAAAAAGTATCATGAAAATTAATAATTGAGCAATGGAGTGTGAGCAACAAATACACTTGAATAGACAACTACAAATAAATATAGATCATTGAACTCAATAATATCAACTTTATATTTAACCATTTTAATTAGTTGAGTTACATTATAATTATTTGATTTGATAAGAATAATTTATTCAATCTATTGATTAAACTTATGATTGAAGAAATTATTAAAAAATAGGAAATATTTTATGTAAATTGATAAATTTCCATTTAATTTATAAATTATCAATCTTAACTGTGAAATCTAAATTCAAAATGAATCTTTATAACTTCCTAAATGAGTTGCTTGAAAATTACATCAATTTGTATACCAATTATTTAAAAAAATAATGCAGTCTTAAATATTTATTGAAAAAATTTGACAGATTGCCTTTATAACTTCGTTCTTGATTAAATTTATTTCAGTTTTATCAAGTTTATGGAGATTACAATCCGAAAAAATATTATTTTTGACTTTCGAAAATATAACTTTTTTAAATAATTTTTGATTTTTTTTTTTTTTTGTAAATATTATTATTAAAATAAACTAAAAGATAATGTAGGGAACACCGGAGAAATATGAGGACTCTAAGAATTGATGTTTCCTTCAGTGATCATAATAATGGTTTTTCATAGCCTTTAATCAACTAAAAAATTTCAATTAAAAACAAAAAAAATGGGTCTGGGCTTAGTTTTTGTCCTGATGACGAACTTCCTATTAATTGAATTCCATAATTTTGTCATCGTTTAGTTTTTTTGTTAATAAAAAGTTAGTATTATTATAAACAATATACAATTGTTTAATCACATCAAGTTATTTATAACAATATTGGTTGATATTTGTCGAATATAATCATAGTCATAATAATTCAATTGATTAAAACCATTTTCAATTGTTTATAATAAATTGAATTTTTTATAAACAATACATGATTTTTTAGAATCATATGAAGTTATTAACAACCATATTATATTGGCCTCAGTTGTCAATCATGTTAATTATCTAATAAGTAGAATCTATTTCAAATGTCTTCTTTACTCAACTTATTTTACACTCTTTTTGTTATAAAAAAAACGGCGGAATCGAATTTGTTCAAACTTCTTTCAGATCTTTTTCATTCTGTTACCTTTAAAATTAAGTTTGTTCTAAGTCGATATCTTTTGTGGTTCTCGAGATATTGAAAACGAAAAAAAACCTGACATACGCACGCACGCACATACATACATCACAAAAAAATTTTTTCTATACCAAGTACTGCTTTACTCTTTAGAGTATTTCATTACTTTTCGAAGTATCCTATTTTACTCCAAGTACCTCACATTGCCTCTGTTTTCCCCACAGAAAATGATTTAAAACAAAAATCCTATCCCGCATAGAAAAAAATGCATTTTCATTAAATTCTCATATATTCTCTATGTATTTAAAACGCATATAATAAAATGAAAATATATAAAAGTATTTCCCTGTTCTATGAGGACATAGTTGTATTATGAATAAGAATCACACTGGACTTCAATAAGAAATTTTTTTTTATCACATTCACAAAATGACAAATTGATATTTGAATGTTTAGAAATAAGGATATTCCTGTACAATAGCGAATTCTGAGTAATCACAAATTAACTAATTACTGGAATGTTTACGTAAAGTATCCTTAATGATCAATTTTTATAAACAGATTGTAAAATTTATCACACCTTACAGGGTGTGAGTATTAAATGCAAAACGTTTTCATTCGTTCATGGAATTTTAACATTGAATAGATTTTACACGAGCTATGTTTATTTACATTAATTGCAGTGTAGTAAAAATCGCTTAAATCGAGGAGTAAAATTCAGCTTTAATAATTATTTAGATAAGAAAATTATTTATTTGTAATTCATTAAGGTGATTAAGTTAATAAATATGCACTACTCAGAAGATAGACAAATTGTCAGAATAATATAAAATTAAAATATAACGAAAAATTTTCACTTTCCAAAACAAGATGTGTATAATTGATAAAACATGAAATTTCTTCAATAAAAATTGGTTTTATATTAATATTGAATTATAACTTTTCATCATTAACCTCTCTTTGGGAAGAACATAATTTAAATGCGTGTGTGAATATGTACTTATGCCAGGATATTTTTCATCAAGTTCATCTTAAGAATAAATGAAGAGATTGACTTCGTACAAACTTCATTCAAATGATAATGCAACAGAAATCTAAAAAAAGTTCAAAAACATTTGGTTGAGCTATTTTTTTATGTCAAAAAAACTGTCAGAAAATATAGTAAAAAAAATGAACGTTATAGAATATGATGAACTTAACGTCTCACTGGTGATAAAATATTTAGGAATGTCTCAATATTGATACAGATTCTATACATTGTTTAAAAATGTTTTCTAACTATCATACATTAATTTTAAGAATTCCAACTAGTTATCATCAGTTAAAAAAATTTTTATTAAGTTATTATTAAGAAACTTTTCAATAAGGAAGTTGTCATGTGGATATGGAATGCATCCAAACCTATTTTTGTTGTCAACTGTTCATGTTTTGAAGAGTTTATCCTAAATCTAGTGGAGTAAATGATAAATTCTATAATAGAAATGTTCTTATAATTATTATATACGATAAATTTTGCTTTAAAATACTAAATATTGAAGTACTATTTATTCAAATTTAATGTAAAAACTTATATCACTCAAAACTACTAATTTCTACTTACTTTTATACTTGTCACTTCGACTTTTACAGTGAAAATCATGGAAATTTTTTTCATGTAAGAAATAAATTAAACGATTTTTATATTAACTTATGCTTTTTCGATATAAAAAAATAAAAACAAATGAATTTCAGGTCAGTTAAGGATTCTGAATTGATGACCTTGAAATGTAATGATGTTGCAAAACATATTTTTCTTATTATCACCACGAAGCTGTCAGAGTACTCCAAGTCTTTAATCAGAATTGGAAGGATTGTCGTGCAGTGTGAATGAAAACTGTCACATTTTTTATTTAACTTCACTAATACATGCACAATGGTACGTATGTAGAAGATTATATGAGGTTCATGAAGATTACAAATCCGATAGTAGAACTACGTTCTAGAAATCACGAATCTGGGAACATAATTAACGCAAAATATACATGATAGGGATTTTGCTATTTGAAGGTCTTGCAATTACTCTTTATTATCACATTCAATGCATCTCATTCGACAATTTAATCGAAAAACTCTACAGTTTGTTTAAACAAGAGTTTGAATTAGTGTAACAAATTTTTACGCCGTAATTAAACTCTTTTCAGTTATTATCTATTTCTTATTTATTGTCATAAATATGTTTTCATTCAAACAATGTATCGAATCAAGCAATTTCACACTAAATATCATGCTGTTTTAGCGAGCCCTTCAGTCGAATAAAGTCGTACGCATAATGTGATCATGGAGTAGAATAATATCCTTTGAAAGTCATATGTATCAAGACATTCGCTCGATATTCATCGATTGTAACGAAAAAAATTATAGGTCATTACTATCAAGTTCATTTTTCCGTTGAATTTCGCTATCATTCTTAGATTTATAACGTTCAAATAGTAACACTGAGTCTTTTAGTTTTTATTTTATTACTGAATAGATATTCTACAAGGAACTTGACCGACATATTTCAGGGGATAACTTTTTTTTCTCTGCATGAATAACTTTTGCAATTTTCTACTCTTCATGAAAAGCCTTATCGCTCTTCATTGATCTTCTTCCTTCGATGTCTAAAGGTTTTTATGATTGACCAATATTATTGATAGTTTTTGTAGAGACGACAAGATGTTAACAGCAAAATGAAACGCATAATCGGCTTACCTTGAATACCTAGTCGCCTGGACTTGATGAGAAGCATACAGTCATACAAAACTTATTAAACTTTCAACAAATTAAAGTCATTATTTGTTCACTGAATTAATAGTGTTTTTACACTTAAATCGACACTATTCTCTT